ATCATTTTGGGAGGCTGAGGTGGACAGATCACCTGAGGTCAGGGGTTAGAGACCAGCCTGGCCAACTTGGCAAAACCCTGTCTCTACCAAAAATGCAAAAATTAGCCAGGTGTGGTGGTGGGCGCCTGTAATCTCAGCTACTCAGGAGGCTGAGGCAAGAGAATCGCTTGAACCCAGGAGGTGGAGGTTGCAGTGAGCCGAGATCACACCACTGCACTCCAGCCTAGGTGACAGAGCAAGACTCTGAGTCAAAACAAACAAACAAACAAACAAAAAACAGCCAAACAAGCAGAAAACAAATGTCAAAATCAGATGGTAAAGTGGTTTCAGAGGTCAACACTGAGGCACAAGTCAAGTGTGGGGTCAGGTCAGCCTGAGAGTTCAGAGGCTGGTACTAATGGGCACCCTCACCAGTGGTCCCTGAGGTGTAGATGAAGAGGGCAGGGCTTCTCCAGGTGATCCCAGCACGCAGGTCAGCAGGCACTGGATGGGAGGGCGCTGCATCCAGGGCAGCCCCCAGAGCCCCCACCCCTGGTGTAGGGGAGGTATGACTGAGGTAGAAGCAGCGGATGTTCTCAGCCTGCAGCTTGGGAAGGATCTCCTCCAGGCTCTCCCGGAGGTCTGCAGGGATGGGTCAGAGGAGAAACAGAGGCAAGGCTCACCTTTGAGGTCACGAGGCGGGATCTGAGACCCAGAGATGCAGGCAGAGTTGCAGCTAGCATAGAAAAGCGTCCATGTTGTTCGGTAAAGAATCCCATCATTAGTATTTTTGGTCAAAAAGGATCGAAATAGCCATTGTGGGAAAATTAAACTCTGGTGACTTGAGAACTACTTTCTGCTCATAAGTCTTGATTGTAACTGCCTGAGAAAGTGGGCAGGTGGGGACCAAGGGCCTCTGCCAGTCCCACCAGGACCCCTGTCCTACAGTCCCTGCCCTTGCCCCCTTCCATTCTCCACTGGCTCCAAGGCCCTCACCTGGGTCCACCACCAGCACCCGGGCCCCGGAGCTCAGCACAGAGTGCACCAGGGGCATCCCCCGGCTATGCGGGTTGATCCAGGCTGTTGGGCAGCCCAGCTTGGCCAGCCCCAGCCACAGACACAGGGCTGGAACGGCCTGGGAAGCCAGCACCAGGAGGGCGGCAGGCTCCCCAGCACACAGGCTCGCACGGCCACCCATCTCAGCCTTCAGGGCCCATGCCGCCTGGCAGGCCCGGGCATCCAGCTCGCCAAGGGTGACTGAGCCAACCCCGGGCCCCGTCCACACCAAGACTGCCCTGCCAGACTGAGCTCGTGCTCGCCTCTCGAAGGCATCTACAAAGGTGTCAGGTGGCTGCCGGCTCAAGCATGCCCTGATCTTCAGGCCCACATGGAGGAGCTTAGCCAAGAAGACCACATCAGCCGGCAGCCAGCGTAGCCCTGGGGGCGGCCGTGCTGGCAGCAGGGTTAGTGCCAGGGCTGCAGCTGCCAGGCTCAGCCCATGGGGCACCCAGGGGCTGAGCCAGGGCCGTGCTAACATGGCCAGCCCAAGCAGCACACAGCATGTGGGATCCCCTAGGAGCCAGCGCAGGGTCAAGGCCACAGCCACTGGCCACACTGGCTGTCCTAGGCCCCAGAGCAGGAGCAGCAGCAGCAGCAGCAAGGCCAACCGTCGCCTGACACCCATGGTACCAGCTCCTCCCTAGGAGCAGCAGCTGTGGAATATTGAGGCTCACCTCTGGCCCCTCAGAGTAGCCCAATGGCTCCTCCCCAGGGGTGGCGACCCTGGCACTGCTGACAGTGGCTGGTCCTCTCTCCAGGACTTTGCCCCCAGCCCTTCTCCTCTACATGTTTGTTTGCTCTGACTGGTCTTGTGTGTGGCTCCAGCCCCTCTCTGCCTATTTGCCACCCCTATCAGCCCCCTCCTTTGCCAGGTCTGACCCCTTTCCATCATTGGCCTCTGGGTTCCCAGGTCTCTGCCCCTTGGGCACCACCACTAGCCTCCTTCCTGCTGTCCTGCTTGCCCCATCCACCCTCCGGGGCTGGCGTCTAACTCCCTTGCCTCCCCTCCCATCCCTGCTGTGTACCAGGCACTCAGAGCACAGAAATCCCTGCCCTTGGGAACACTCCAATCAGGCCAAAGAGAAAAGCAACAGGACAGCAAGGTGGACCTCACTGGGAGGTCCTCCTGTGACACCCACTTAAACCCTGGGGAGAGGGCCTCAGCCAGGCTAAGCCCCTTGTCCCACGATCCAAGGAATCATAGCCTCCTGCCAGGCATCCAGCAAGTGCTCAGTAAATAGAGGAACACTCGCATCGCCTGGATTCAAACCAGCTCTGCCCCCCACCCATGTGCTTGCTCTGTGACTCTCTGTCCCACCTCTGGCTTTGATGACGATGGAGTCAGCCCATGATGCACTCAGTTGGATCATCAAAGCCTTGGCATTTCACCTTGAGGAGGCAGTCCCAGAAGGTAAATCCAGAAGAGCTGCCATTGGCCTAGGAGCCTGGCAGGTCAGGCTGGGGCATGGCCCTCCAGGACATACCCCACTCCACCAGCTCGAAATCCTTAGGGCAGGGCACCTAGGCTAGGAGCCACTATTGTGCTGAAGAGGGGAGAGGTGAAGAGTGGCTGCTCTCTCCACTGGATGCAGGGGCCTGGGACATGGCTGGCCACTGGGGTAGTGTCCCCAACTGCCCAGCAGTCAGCCCCCGGATCCCACCCCTCACTCTTTCCTGTCCCCAATACAGCCATCAGAGCCCTCCCTGAACTTGGCCCTCAGCACTAAGGGCAGATATATGGGGGCTCATATACCCTCAGGGCAACCTGGCCCCAAAGATCCCCCTGGGCTCACCACAAGTAAGGTGCTCAGCCATGTCCATCAGAGTGGGGGAGGGGAAGTCTCAAGTCCAAAAGGCCCGTAGACTCTGGCTGGAAGATCTATGGGAGGGGCCTCAAAGGTCGTGGACAGCAGCAATCAGGAGTGCGATGGGGCTTTCACATGGCCTCCCTCTCGGAGACCCATCTCAGATGTGCCTGCCTATCCTCCTCCCCACAGGACTCAGGGATACAAGAGAAGCAAGTGCCGGTTATATATGTAGCCCATCTTAGCCCCTACAGAATAGAGGTCCGAGATGGCAAAGGGGACCATCCTGTCCCTGCCCAGGACAGCCTGTGGGCCGCATGGGTGCCGCCCAAGAACAAGGACGCTGAGCCCTGACACCCACAGCTTGTCTATGAGCAAGGCACGCACTGATCCAGGTGCTCACAGCTTCGTGGTTTAGGCCCCATGGCCTACAGTCCTTTATTAGAGTGAGAGTCCCGAGGCCCAGCCCCCATATATGATGGGTCCACTTGAGCCTCCTTAGGCGCCCCACGAGGGAGGGATAGCTTGGGTAGGGAGCTAGGGACCTTGAACAGCCTCACACCGGGGCAGGGGAGCGGCCCCAGCCCCCACCCCCACCCCAGGAGAGGGCGGGGCGAGAACCGGAGTCATATCTTGGGCCGGGTCCCAGCGCCTGAGCGCCCGGTTTAGGCAGGAAATGGTCTAGTTCTCAGAGGTGGTCTGGTCCCTAACCAGCCCCAGCTCGGCACCACCTGGAGGGTTCAAGTACATGGAGGAGAGGAGTAAGGCGGACTTAGGCCCCGGTATGGAGAAAGGGTGAAGGGAGAGAGAGGACCTGCGCTCAGGAGGGAGCGTGGTCTAGTGGCGGGAACCACGGGTCCCGTAGCGGGGGTGGCCGACCGTGCGGGAGGCCTCGGATCCACCGTGGGCGAGGCCAGGCCCCAGCCCCATCAGGGCGCAGGGTGCGCGGCCAGGTGGCGCTCCAGCAGCGCGCGGTGCGAGAAGACCTTGCCGCAGGCGGGGCAGGGCGCGCGCTCGGGCCGGTGAGTGCGCATGTGCACGTTGAGTGAGCTCTTCTGCGTGAAGCGCTTGGCGCAAACGGCGCACTGGAAGGCGCGCACGCCGGTGTGCGTGACCATGTGCTTCAGCAGGTAGTCGCGCAGCGAGAAGGATCGCCAGCACACGGCGCACTGGTGCGGCTTCTCCCCTGCGGACGACAGGGCGGGCCGCGAACGCAAGTCAGACTCTACAGCTCCCCGCCGCCACCCCACCCCACCCCCACCCTGGGCGCCTGGACCTGGCAGGAGCTCCCCTCCCCTCCCAAACCACTATCCCGGGATCCCTTGCCTGTCGGGGAACCCTCCCCTTACTATGGGATCTTCCCGCCCAGCAGGGACACCCCCTCCCCTCCAGGACCTCCCTTCATGTTGGGACTTTCCTGCCCAACAGGGACCCTCATACACTGTGAGGTACCTCTCTCCCATCCCTTCCTGGCAGGGACCCCCTTTCTGTTATCCTGAGATGCCACTGTCTGACAGGGCTCCCCTAAATCCAGCAAGTACCCTGCCTGCAGGGAACCCAGCCTGTCTGGAACATCTGTTGCTCATCTGGACTGCCCACTGGGCTCTCCCTCTACCCTCAGGGACCCTCCCCCTCAGCCCCTACCCACCCGGCACAGGGAGACACTCGGACCTGGCCCCCCTCGCCAATGCCCATATAGTCTCCTAAACTCAGTCTGACAAGGCCATTGCCCTTTCATAAGGAGGGACCTGGGCACATCTGCCACCTTCCTGCAGGAAGCCCCAGTTGCCCAGAACCCCTGCCCGCTGGCCACTATAATGTCCTTGGTGTGATAGAGAGAGCTCCTCATTCTAGGTTAGGGGAGGGGAGGCAGGCTGAGTCCACCCCTAGATTCATCAGGTATTAACAAAATGCGTATCTCAGCCAGGCATGGTGGCTCCCACCTGTAATCCTAACATTTTGGGAGGCCGAGGCAGGCAGATTGCATGAGGCCAGGAGTTCAAGACCAGACTGACCAACATGGCGAAACCCCTTCTCTACTAAAAATACAAAAAATAGCCAAGTGTGGCGGTGTACGCTTGTAATCCCAGCTACTCAGGAGGCTGAGGCACAAGAATCACTTGAACCCAGGAGGCAGAGGTTGCAGTAAGCCGAGCTCGCACCACTGCACTACAGCCTGGGCAACAGAGGGAGACTCGGTCTCCAAAAAAAAAAACAAACCTCTCTCAGCGGCAGGGTACTGAAAGGCAGTGCCTGCCAGGGGGTACCCCAGACTAACCGGGCCCAGGCACCTGACTCAGATCACACACTTCACACAGCCAGCACTACCTTGGGGCCTCTGGCACCACCCTGGAGACTAATCACCCAACTCCCTTATTCTCAGTTCCCTGGCTCCTCCCAGTTGTCCCCAAGGCAGCCAGAGGTGATTATAAACTGACATCTCAGTCACTCCCCAGCTTAGAATACCATGGCTTCCCCACCACTCACAGTCAAATCCCAAGTTCCAGCCCATGCAGAAACCTCCCTCACTACCACTGTGGCCTTCCATCCAAATTTTTGCTTTTACTGACAATGCCCAGCAGGCTTCTGCTTTCCATTCCTTTGTCCTCCATCTCAGCCCCCAGGGAGCATCCTCACATTCCTCAGTACCATCCTCCCACTCTTTACCTCTCCTGCAGCACTGCAGAGCCGCCTCCCTGACACGGCCAAGGTCCGAGGGAACCTCCGCACAGCTTTTCGGGGTCCTCTGCAGCTGTGGGGTCCCCACACTATACCCATGTTTTCCTACTCCTGCCCCAGTCTCAGGAGTTCCTTCATCGCACCACCTCTCTGAGGGCTTTCTACCCCTGGGCCTGTAAACCCACCCTCCCTTGCTGACTGCCATGGCGGGACTGCTGGAAACCAGAGACACAGGAGGCTCCCTGGAGCCTAGTTTCTCAACCTGCCCAGGAGCCCCTGCCAAGACTCCATGCCCATCATATGCATCCTAGACTGCTAAAGTTTCCACCACCACCCTTCCAAAGGCCAGGACAGGCTTCTGCTTCCCAACCCAGCCTCAGGACCCCCCTCCACAGAAGCCAGTGCCTGCTGCTCCACAGAGTGGGACTTTCTCCTCCCCCACATACCTTGCACTTGGGGGAAGGCTCAATTTCCAGGCCCCCTGCTACCCAAAAGTAACAGAACAGTTCCAGTGCCCTGTAACTAGTGCTGAATTCCCCCTTAGGTTTAACTCTCCAATGAGAGATTCTCCCTCTCCTCTCCCGCCCTGGCTCACCCGAGTGGATGAACATGTGCTTGGTGTAGTTTTTCCGGGAGCTGAACGTCTTGTGACAGTGGCTGCACTCATAGGTAGGTGGCTCAGCACCTGCTGTGCGAGCAGGGGTGCCTGAGGGGGCCGTGGTGGGAGCAGCAGAGGGAGCCGGGGCCTCCCCCAGCTGAGTGCTGGGGGCTGCCTCGGGCTGGAGTGTGGGGTAGAAGGCGGGTGGGGGCGCAGGGGCTGGCCCTGATGGTGCTGAAGGGGGTGGTGCGGGTGGCCCGGGGGCACCCAAGTGAAAGGGGAAGAGTGCGACGGGTGGCCCTGGGGTCTTCACACCAGGCGGGCGGGGTCCAGCCAGTATGCAGTCGGGCTGGACAGGGGTCTCAGTGGGACAGCCTTCGGGGACAGCGCCATCCTCGTCGTGCCAAGTGGATACATAGCTGTCTGGAAATACGTCCTCAGCTGCCCCAGCTCCCCGAAGAAAATCCCTCCCGGCACCACTGTAGTCAGTGAGGCCAGTGGGTGCAGGGGGCTCCTCGCAGGCGCTGTCAGCAGCAGCAGTGAGGAAGCCGGCAGCACAGTCTGGGAAGGAAGGAGGTGCCTGGCCCTCGCCCGGGCCGCCACCTTCGCCGTCCTCGCCATCGGTCTCATCGTCAGTTTCCTCGTCATCCTCATCGCCACGGTCGTCAGGGGCCGCGGACAGTGAGGGGTCAGCATCAGGCCCCTCGGCCTTGGCAGGTGTTGGGGGCGCAGGCAGCTGCAAACGCGCGGGCTGGCGCTGCTTACGGCTGTGCGCAGCACCAGGGTGCCCCGGAGGGCGCGCAGCCAGCAGGTGGCGCAGACGGTGACGCAGCTGCGCAGGTGCGAGTGGCGGGGGCACAGGGGTGGGCAGGGGCGTGGGCGCAGAGGTGCCTGGGGCTCGGGCGCGGGCGATAATCTGCGTGCATTCGTCGATAACTGTCTGTATGCGAAGTACCGACGCGGCTGTGAGCACCTGCAGGGCTTCGCCCTGCGCCACAACAAGCGAACCGCTGTACAGGAACTCGACCAGCTGTCGCACCGTCTGTGCGGGCACCACCGGAGGCACACGGATCTCAGAGTGGCCGAGCAGCAGCTTGTCTTGGAAGAAGGGCGAGCCGGCCGCCAACACGCAGCGGTGGGCACGCAGTGAAGCTTCACGAATGCGTACAGTCACGTCGCAGAAGTGCCCCCCTAGCCTCTGCCCATTGAGGGTCTCAAGCAGAGAGCGTGAGAAGTTCTGCAGGTGTATGTGGTGCACAGCCTCTGCAGCTGCCATCTGCACAGAACAAGAGGAGGGCCGGAAGAGGTCAACTGAGGACCCCCCTCTGTCCCAACCTCCCTATCTTTTCACCCATTGCTGCAGGATGGGGCTCAAGAGTGCACCACACTCCAAGGCGCACTAACCCATCCCTCCTCAGCTGCCCTTCACAGTCCCCATTCCCAACACAGGACACTCCAGCACTCCCTCCTCCTCCCATCTCAGTCCCGGCCAGGCCCTCTACAGCCCCCCACTAACACGGCAAACCTTAGCACACCCCTAGGAGAGGGTGTTGGGGATGTGAAAGGTCTGCCCCTCTCCGGGTCTTGCTTACAGCCCCCGAAAAGGTTCAGGGCTTGGCCTACTCTACATTGACTCACCCACCCACCCCACCCCATCCCAACTCCAGTAACCCTAGGCCTCCTCATGTGACCCTCCAAGAGGGCAGCCCTGTGTGTAGAAGAGGCCAAGGACCCCCATCCCAACTGGCTAACCTGCCTCACCCAGAGCAGACCTTGCTCACTACCCAGCTAGTTTCTCCTCCACCCCTGCTGGCAGCTCCTTTTGGTTTCCTTTAGCCACATCCCCCCAGTATGAGACCCTGTGCAGAGGCAGGATTGCTGCCTCAGAACCAGGTCACCTTAACTAGTATATACAGAGGCTTTCGCAGGAGTGGGATGGCATGACCTGCTTCCTGGGCAGCATGGTTCTCGGTGTGCCTGGTCACTAAGGGCTGAGGGTAAAAGGTTGGGCATTACCTTGGGAGATGCCCCAGGGAAACCAGTACATGGTCCCTGGCAGCCCCTAGCATAGCAGGCAGGGAAGTGCCTCCTGCAGCCCCAGCTTCTTGCCATCTCGATGGGGCCTGTGGGGCCCAGGGTGTGGGTGTGGCACAGAGAGGGGAAGTGTGGAATGAGCAGGGGTGTGTGACTGGATAGGTGCCCACTGAGCAAGCCGGACAAGGCCCAACATCAGGTACCAGAAAGGGGAGAGAGTAGTCCCCAGAGGACTCTGGAATGTGAGGAGTTCTGCTACTCCGTCCATCAAGCAGGTAAACCGTGATCCTTCGGCCTGTTTCCCCTTCTGTCAAACAAGGGATGAGATACTCAGCTCACCCTGCACCCATACTGCACACACCTCCAGTCTAAGGGAGGAGGGTAGGAGCTCTGGACTCTGACATCCGTATAGCCTCCACCAGCCTGTCTCTCAGAGTGGGCTCGGCTTGATGCTGCCCCTACACCCTCGGGCTCTACTGGGGTCTCAAGATTCAACCCCTCCAACTCCTTATGCCCAATCCTTTGCTCAGCCAGACGCCTCCCTTTCTTGCATGCCCAACATTTGACCCTCAGACCACTTCGAGCACCTCCACTGCCCCGTTCCCGCTGTCCTGAACCGATGAAGAAACCTGGCTGGTCTCTCCACGCCCCTGGCCTCCCCTTCTGTTCCCCACATGGCAGCCAGAGGGAGCCTTTCCAGACTACAGATCCAGATACACCACCCCGCCCCCCGGCCCCACTCTGAGCCTCAAGAAAGCCAGGCCTGTGCCCGTGCAAAGGCTAACTCAGCATGCAGCACCCGCCCCATCTGTATTCACCTAGCACCTAAAAGGCTTCTAATCTGTGTCCGGCCGATAGGGACGCATCAACCCCAGAGACTTGAACCTTCCTTTCCCGCCCTGCCCCGCCCCGCCCCGCGGCGGGCTCCATTCCTCAGTCCCGACGCCGCAAAGCCGGCCTGGACACTTCAGAACAAAGGCCAGTCTTCGAGACCCGGCGCCCAGGCCAGCTTCCTGGGTCCGGCGCCGCACACTCCCGCCACGCCTTCGCCGCGCCGTGTGCTTTACCCCGAGCGCGTTCTCCCAATCTCTGCTCCATTGCCCGCGCACCACCCTAAGCCCAAAGCACCCCTCTGAACCGCCGCGGCCACCCCGCACCCTGGCCCGCGCCGTACCCCGGTCCTGCAGCGCCCCCTCGCGTTCGCAGCGTGCGCTTCTAGCGGAGCGCAGGTGCCCCTCCCCTGGCACGCCCCAGCCTCCTCGCCAGCCCTGCGGCAGGGGGATGCCCATCCGACCCCACCTCCGACTCCTCTTCAGGCACCAGGCTCTACTGTGGCCGCCTCCTTCTCACGGACTACAAGGCCGCACTTCCGGGCCCCTACGCCGGCGGAACCAAAGCCCGTGGTCGCGGCGGCGCAGGGGAAACCCTACCGAAGCACATTTCCGGTATTTTTGTGGCGATCAGCTCCCGTCAGACTGCGGCTCTCAGTCGGAACCAAAGTCGAAGAGGCTAGGGCTGCTGCATCTGTGGCTCACTGCAACCTCCGCCTGCCTGGGTTCGATAGCCGATTGTCCTGCCTCAGCCCCTGAGTAGCATGGAGTACAGGCCATCTACCACCATGCCTGGGCTTTAATTTTTACTATTTTTCAGTTGAGACAGGGTTTCAGCCACTGTCGCCAGGCTGGTCTCATAGACTCCTGACCTCGGGTGATCCGCCTGCCTTGGCACCTCTAAAGTGGCTGGAATTACAGGCATGAGCCACTGTGGCCAGCCTGTCTCTACTAAAAATACTAAAAATTAAGCTGGGGCGGTGGCACGGTGCCCATAAATCCAGCTACTAGGTGAAGGCTGAGGCCAGGAGCGATCGCTTGAAAACCCTGAGGTGTGACAGGTTGTAGGAGCTGGCATGCACCAT